ATTTGTATGAAATGCCTTTCTCAATCCTTTTACCTTGAGTTTATATGAATCCTTCTGTGTTAGGTGAGTGTCCCATAAACAGCAGATATTTGGATTGCAGCTTTTTATTCATTCTGCTATTCAGTATCTTTTAAGTGTAGCATTTAGGCCATTTACATTCAATGTTAATATTGCAATGTAAAGTACTATTCTCTTCATCATGTCAATTGCTACCTAGTTTTTTGCTATTGTTCTTGCGTTATTGTTTTATAAGCCCTATGAGTTTTGAGCTTACAAGAGGTTCTATTTTGGTTCATGTCAGGCTTTCTGTCCGATGTTTAGAGCTCCTTTTAATATTTCCTGCAGTGAGGGTTTGGTAATTACAAATTCTCTCAGCATTTGTTTGTCTGAAAATGAATGTATTTCTCCTTCATTTTTAAAACTTGGTTTTACTTCATGCAAAATTCCTGGCTGATAGCTGTTCTGTTTAAGAACCTTGAAGATAAAACTCGAATAATTCCTTTTACCTTGTAAGGTGTCTGCTGGGAAGTCTGCTGTTAGTCTGATATGCATTCTTTTATAGTTTACCTGATGCTTTTGTTTCACTGTTCTTAGAATTCTGTCTTTCATGTTGATTTTAAATAGCCTGATGATTATATGCCTTGGGTGAAGATCTTTTTGCAGTGAATTTCCCAGCAAATCTTTGAGTTTCTTGGATATCTAGATCCCTAGCCAGGCAAGGGAAATTTTCCTCAATTAGAACCTCAAATAAGTTTTCCAGACTTATTTTGTCTTCACCCTCAGGAACATTGATTATTCTTCGTTTTGTCCATTTTGCTCAATCCCATATTTCTTGGAGACTTTATTTCTTTTGATTCATTTTTTCTTTATTTTTGTCTTATTGGGTTAATTCAAAGGCTTTATCTTCAAGTGCTGAAATTTTTATTTTTTAAAAAAATTCTTCTAGTCTATGGTGAAAACTAGGAAGTAGTCTTATTGAGTGTCCCTTATGTATGATGAGTCAGTTTTTTGTTGCTGTTGTTTGGTTTTTGCAGCTTTTAATAGTTTCTCCTTTTCTTTGAATTTCAGCAATTTCACTCAGGAGCTGTTTGTACTTAGACTACTTAGAGGTAGTTGAGTGTCTTGAATGTGTAGATTTATATGTTTTCAGCAATTCTGGGAAATTTTCACTGGTTATTTTTTCTGCTTTTTTTTTTGATTTCCTCTTCTTTTTCTGGTACTTCTGTTATGCATACATTGGTGTGCTTAAAGTGCCCTACATTCCTCTGAGACTGTTGATTTTCCTTTATGCTAAAATCTCTGTTGTTCAGATTGCATGATATCTATTAATCTCTCTTTTACTTCACTGATTTTTTTCTTTTGCCTCTTCAGATTTTCTGTAGAAGCTATTTATTTTGGTTATCATTCATTTCATCTACAGAATTGACATTTGTTTCATCCTATAATTTACATATCTGCATTGATACTCTCTACATAATGAGATATTGTCTTCATATTTCCTTTGTATCTTTAAGCTTCATTTCCTTTAGTTCTGTGAACATATTTATAATGGCTAATTTGAAGTCTTTGTTTGTTCAATCTGACATCTTGTCCCTCTCATTGGGAGTTTCTGTTTCTTGCATTTATTCCTGTGTATTGGGCACAGCTTCCTGTTTCTTGCATGTCACATATTTTGTTGTGGAAAGTGGACATTGTGAGTAACACTTTAGTGATTTTGGATACTGACCCCTCCCACACCCCCAGGTTTTATTGTTTGTGTTCACTTAATTGTGCATGTGTATGTGTGTTTGTAAATTTGGTTAAATGTTTTAGTGACAGTTTTTTTCTTCTGTGGTCTGAAGCTTTTGGTGTCACTTTTTACCAGGTGCCATCTTAGGTATGTGTATAATCATACTGGGTGACAGTCTTTCCTTTGCTGTCCCTTTTTCTGAATTCTCTATTAAGCTGCCAGCTTCATTTGATATTATATCCAGGCTTCTAGGCTCCAATAATTATGGGCTGATTGCTCTGTTGTGTGACAATGCTCTGGGACATAAATTGCTGAGCTGTGTTAACTAATTTAATTCAGGCAGAGATGGGTTTTGATGGCAGTCTTTGAGGTTAATTCTAATGCCAGTAATATTCTTCTTGGCTTTCTCTTTCCAGGCTTCTCTGGTGAATTACTCTATGGCTTAAGTTGCTGGTTTTAATTAAGTGGTGTTTTTATTATTTATTTATTTATTTATTTATTTTGAGATTGAGTCTCACTCTGTCATCAGTCTGGAGTGCAGTGGCATGATCTCTGCTCACTGCGACTTCTGCCTCCTGCCTCCTGGGTTCAAGCAGTTCTCCTGCCTCAGCCTCCTGTATAGCTGGGACTACAGGCATGCACCACCATACTCAGCTAATTTTTGTATTTTCAGTAGAGACGGAGTTTCACCACATTGGCCAGGATAGTCTCCATCTCTTGACCTTGTGATCCACTCGCCTTGGCCTCCCAAAGTGCTGGGACTAAAGGCCTGAGCCACAGTGCTGGGTGAATTTTTATTTTTGAGAACACCTTTATACTTGAATTTTCCTCACAATCTGTTTCAACTAAAGTCAGTACTCTTCAGAAGGGACCTAGCATTTCTTTTTAATGGACTACCTTTCTGCAGGGACAAATTCTCTGAGACGTTCCTCTAGGTTCTGAGTGAGATGGTAGTTTCTGGATGTTTTTGGCTTGTTTCCACCGGTGTACAAACTCCATTCTAAGAACAAGATAGGACAATGATGATTGATGCCCCAGTAGTCTTACTCTGATAAACTTATAGACAAAGACCTGATGGAGGAAGGAGTTCAATTTCCTTTTGCTGCACTTAGTAAAAATTGAGCCTCTTAAACTTACAAGTGGAGGAGATAAGACAATACCTCTGGTATGCTCTACTAAGTGATATACAATATATTAATTGGGAGCTGAGGGAAGAGGGACTCTTGTATTAGCTATGCCCACCCAAAGGCAGGAGAATCGCTCGAACCTGGGAGGTGGAGGTTGCAGTGAGCCAAGATTGAGCCACTGCACTCCAGCCAGGGTGACAGAGCAAGACTCTGTCTCAAAATAATAATAATAATAATAATAATAATACTTTTCCTTAGTTATGATTATTTCACTGGGCAGCGGAGTTATTCATGCTGCCATCTCAGAAGTTAGCTTTTCAATATTGAACATTTATCAATATGCACATTATCTGAGATCAGATGAGATCAGGCATGTTCAGAGTGGGATGGCTATAGAAAATATGTACATTATCCAAATATACTGAGGACAACTTTTTGACAACTATCACTTTTCTCAATGCAATGAGGCCCATTTTACAAATCAGGAAACTGATGCTCAGAGAAAAATATAATACTCGCAAAAACAGCAACATTGGGAGCCACATTTGAAGTTCAATATGCCTGGGTCCAAATTGCCTTTTTGCCACTGTTCAAAACATTGTACTGGCTGAAACATTTTGTGGTGCCAGAACAAGAAGTGTGAAAAACTAATGGCGTGGGAGTGGTATGACTAAAGAGTACAGAAGCCAGTCAGATTACCCAGTGGCCACATTGCGATGGGAGGGGCAGGAAACACAAGCAAGGATAAACGTAATTCCTATTTTGGGTTATTGCCCACAGAATAATAAATATTCATAAGCCCATACTGATTAACTAGCTAAATACCTAAATAGATGGAGAAGAAAAAGGTTCTCACTAAAAATTTCAAATTGATACTTTTAAGAAATGAGAATAAAAAATCACAGTAGTTTAATACCATTTAACTTTAAATTTTTAATTAAATTTAAATTAATAAAAGTACATCGCAGTCATAAATTCTAAAGGCAAGATCCCATGGCAATAATACAATTAGTTCAAAGGATTATAAGCAAAATGAGTATATCTTCATAATCTCAAAATTTCAATAAATTTTTTATCTGTTGGTTATGAGAGTAATGTATACAATGTGACATTAGTGATGCATGTTAAATGTCACAGAAGGACAGAGGGAAAACGGGAGTTAATTTGGAAACTAATGAGCATGTGAGAATGAGATCAAGGAAAAGTCCCATGGGGAAGGTAACTGAGCAGTACTGTGAAGAGCAGCTCAGCTTTTTACCAGTGAAAGAAGAAGTTGAAGATAATAACATTGATTTATACAGCATGGCCGAAGGTGGAATAAACAGAGAGAAAGACAGATGTTTCTGAGCAAGTAAGTGCATGGAAAAATCATACATAAAATAAAGTCAGAGGTCTTGTAATCAAATCATAAAGGACTTCAAGTACCTAGAAAATGGATTGGGATGAGAAGTACAGGTAAAGGCAGCTATTTGAGGCCAAGGTTTATGTAATACAAAATAATCTTTGCACTTAGCAAAGTAATAAACACGTATCCATAAATGCTAGTTACCTTTGCTGAAAGTCACAGATATTCTCTGTGCTTTTAAAGTATATCAGTCAAAATACAATAATTGTCGGTAGCTTTTTCTTCGGAGACAATTGTTTACTACAAATGCTGGTTTTCTTTGCTGAAAGTCACAGAAACACTCTGTGCTTTTAAAATATTTCAGTCACAATATACTAACTGTCAGTAGCTTTTTCTTCTGAGACAATTGTATATAACAATTGATTGTATATTTATGCTACAAGTTTTATAAATGCATGGTCATCTTTCCCACAAATTCTTTTTGATTTTGTTTAGACATGGGGCACCAAGGCCAAATTTAGAAGGACATTGACATCCTTGAAATTTTGTCTAGCTTAGTTTTTGATAATTTGTGGGGTTTTTTCTATATGTATCTTTACTAACTTCTCAATTGTGTTTTCTTCTCTGATTTCTGCATTTTTTCCATTGAATCTGTGATTATTTTAAATTTCATCCAAGGGAAATATTGCTCTTGTTTAATAACAAAAAACCAACCATTTTCCAGTACAGCTATGTCCCTGTTATGTGAATTGAATAGGAGAAATTGAAAAATGGCTTTTGAAAAAGTAGTTTCCTTAAAACTTTTTTATTAGGTTTCTTTTTCTCCTCGGTTTATCTCAGCTTAATGATGATGATGATGATGTTTTTGCCTTTTGTTTATTTAGTCAATACCTCCTTATAGAACTCCTTCAATTTTTCAGGTTATTTAATGCTGGATGTGCAGAAAGTGATCCAGCTGTCATATTAAAGACCTTTAGAGTTCGATATGCACCATATAGGAAAAAAATATGGATGTCAGATTATGCCCAAGAAAATCCTAATAATGGTCTATTCTTTCTGTGAGACTTTTCTACGTCTAATCCCCTTATCCTTTATTTTTAGTATAGCTCTCACTGAATGAATATCATCGACTAGTTTTCTAATTTCTACAAAATACTTGAAAGTCTTTTCTTAAGAAGTCTTCTCAGGGTTATTCTATCACGTGCTAACGTCTACCAGCTCCATGCTCTTTTGCACTTACATGTGATTCTTTCTCGTTTTCATTGTTCTTGGTATTTGCCATCTCAAGCAAGGAGTTTCTGGATAATAAAGATATTTTTTTTCTCTCTTCACTCCATGTCCTGAGTTCCTAACACATTGCCGGGTACTTAATGAGATGTAGTAAATGCTGATTGATTTGCTCTCTTAGCGCAACAGTATACTTGATTTTCTCTAAAAGTAGTTATTTAGAATATTGGTTTTTGTAGCTTTCAAAAGATAGAAAATATAAATCTGAATTTCAACTACAGCAGTGAGATAATTTTCTTGTTTCTGTAAAATGGAGATAGATTCTATTCCTGAGATATTGAATCAATAAGTCATCAAGTGGCTGTTGGAGTAAAATTATCTCTTTCCAAAGCATTATTGTAGCTCACAAAAATGAGCATATAATTTGTAAATAGGTGTAGTAAATAAATTCAAGGATATTCATAAACTACAATGTAGTACAGCAACAGAGACATATGAATTAGCTGTCAGTCTGTATAATCATGGCTGACTCATTAAAACAACAACTCGAGCATAGTGGCTCACACCTATAATCCCAGCTACTTGAGAAGCTGATGTAGGAGGATCACTTGAGGCCAAGAGTTCAACACCAACTTGGGCAACATAGCCAGACTCCATTTCAATGAGAATTTAAAAAAAACCCTAGCATTGGTGCATGTTTCTGTAGTCCTACCTACTCAGGAAGCTGAGTTATGAAGATTCCTTATGACCAGGAATTTGAAGCTAAGGCGATCTATAATTGCACCACTGCACTTCACCCTGGGTGACAGACCTATATGAAGCTCTTCTTTGCTTATGTAATTTGTGTTTGTTACAAGTAAAAGAAAATATAATTTAGAAAGTACTATCAGGCCAAAAACATAAAATGGCATCTAGATTTTGTGAGTTACTGCATCATTCTATAAAGGGATGGAAATAATATATACATATACACACATACTGTTTTTTTCTTAACTAGAAGACAATACAGAGGTCATAAGGATTTATTTGACATGTATACTTCATATTTGTGTTTGTTCTTGACACCTTTTTCAAAGATCAATGGGCCATTGTCTTACTCTGTTTATGCTGCTTGTGATAGTTACATGTTCCAAAAATATTTATTTAAGAGATTTTTCCCCATTGAATGCTCCTTGTACCCTTGATGAAAAGCTATTGCAGTAGATCTATGAATTTATTCCTGAAATTCCAATTCTATTTCATTCGTCTATATATCTATCCTAATGTCACTATTATACTGCTTGGATTTCTGTGGGGCTGAAATCAGTCAAGGCGTTGTCCACATTTATTTTTTTAACATTGTTTTGGCTATTTCAGGCAAATGGCCTGAAATGAAATTCCATATGAATTTCCAATTTGGATGTATTTTATTTTCTTTGCTTACCTTATTAGTGTGGCAAGATTTTGCAGTATAATGTTGAATAGCAGTGAAGAAAAAAAGCGTTTTTGTCTTGTTCCTGATTTTAGGGAAAATGATTTCAGGCTTTCAGCATTGAACAATATTCACTGTGAGTTTTTCATAAGTGACTTTTTATCATTTTGAAGAATTTTTTTCTATTGCTAGTTTTCTGAGTGTTTCTATCATAAAAGGGTATTGTTTTTTAATGAGAGCTATGCCTACATCAATTAGGATGATTATGGAGTGTGTATATGTGCCTGTGTGTTTGTGTGTGTTTTTCCTCATTTGATTAATGTGGTGCATTACCTTGATTAATTTTCTTAAGGTCAATCACCCCTGTATTCCTGGAATAAATCCACTTGATCAGGGTACATAATACTTCTATACACTGTTGGATGAAGTTTGCTAGTATTTTACTCAGGATTTTTACATATCTTATTAAGATATATTTGCCTATAATTTTATTTTCTTCTGATGTCCTTATCTGGCTTTGGTATAGGATAAGGCTGACCACATAGAGTGAGTTCAGGAGTTTTAACATTTATTGTAAGATTTTGAAAAGACTATTGGAAATTTTTCTTTAAATATTTGGTAGAGTTTACCAGTGAATCAATCTGGTATTGGACTTTTCCTGGTTAGTGATCTTAAAATTATTGTTATTGTTGCTGATTCATTCTCTTTACTAGTTAAATATACTCAGATATTCCATTTCTTCTTTAGTCAGTTTCAGTAATTGTGCATTCCTAGAATTTTAAACATTGCATCTAAGGTTATATCATTTGTTGTTATAATTTTTAATAATATGCCCTTATACTTGTTTTTTTCTGTTAGGTTGGTAGTAGTATTCCCAATTTGATTTCTGATTATAATTGTTTTTTATTTTTGTCAGTCTAACCAATGGCTTGTTATTTTTATATCTTTTCAAAGAATTAAAATTTTTGTTTGTTTTTTAATGACAAACTTTTAATTTTGTCATTTTATTTGATATATCTTGCTAAGTGATCACCACAATCAAGTGAGTTTACATGTCCAAGGTTACCTCTCTGTGTGTGTGTGTGGTTAAAAAAAAAAAAAAAGTTAAGTTCTACTTTCTTAGCAAATTTCAAATATATGATAAGGCCTTACTACTATAATATATATAGTATATATACTATATATCATTATATATACTATAATGATGTACATTAGTTCCCCATAATTATTCATCTCATATCTCAAATGTATCATGTAACCAATATCTACTGATTACTCCTACCCTCTCAAACTCTGATGACCACCACACTACTCTTTGTTTTATAAGTTTAAACTGTAGACTACTCGAGTAAGTGAAATCATATAACATTTGTGTTTCTCTGACTTGTTTCACTTAGCATAATGCCCTCAATGACCATATTGTGCCCATATGACAGAACTTTCTTCTGTATTATGACTGGATATTTTGTTTTATATATGAATAAAACAGATTGTATGTGTGTGTGTGTGTGTGTGTGTGTGTGTGTGTGTATCTGGTATATATGATACTACAGATACTATATACTTTTCTTATATATATATAGTATATATACTTTTCTTATATATATAGGATGATACCCTCCAAAATTCAGTGCTTGCCAATGTGAGGACATTAAGAGGTGAGGTCTTTAATAGGTAATTAAGTCATGAGACATTCTCCCTTCCTGAATATGATTATGTGTCCTTATAAAAGGGCTTGAGAGAGAAATTTCATCCCTTTTGTGCCTCTGCCTTCTGCCATGTGAAGAAACAGGAAGAAGGCCCTCACCAGATGCCAACACTGTAATGTCAGACTTCTCAGCCTCCAGAATTTTGAGATATAGATTTCTGTTCTTTATGCATTATTTAATCCCAAATATTATGTGATAGCCAGATAAAGACATCTACCTAATAGTCAGATTTCTGGATCATACAGTCGTTCTATTTCTAATATTTTGATGAGCCTCCATACTGTTTGCATAGTAGATGTACCAAATTACATTTCTACCAGTAGTGTATAAGAGTTCCTTTTTCTTCATATCTTTGCCTACACTAGTTTCCTCTTGACATTTTGATAACAGTCATTCTAACAGGTGTGATGTGATATCTAATTATGATTTTGGATTGCATTTTCCTGATGATTAGTGATATTGGACAACTTTTGTGTACTTTTTGGCTGTCTATTTTCTTCAAAAAAAAAGTCTATGCAGTTTTTTTTGTCCATTTAAAATTTTAACACTGTTGTTTTTGCTATTGATTTGTATGAGTTTCTTATATATTTTAGATATCTCTTATCAGTTACATGGTTTCCATATATTTTTCCCATTGTATAAGTTACCTTTCATTTTAATTTGCTAGTATTTGCCTTTATGGGAAACTGTGTGCTAGACTCTATGATGGGGTGTGATTGCAGGCCAGGGCCTACAAGTGGAACCACAAATCTGTTTTCTGTTGCTACAGTTTTGCTTTTTCTAGAATTTCCTTTGTGCCTGATTTTCATTGGCATAATGATTTTGAGATTCATCTATGGTGTTACCTGTACCAGTAGTTTTGCTGAGTGCATTGCATTGGATGGATGTATCATATTTTGTTTATTTTTCACCAGTCAATGGTTATTTGTATGATTATTTGTACTTCTGCTTCCCAGTTTTTTGGCTCTTATGACTGCTGACCTAATATTCACATAAAAGCCTGTGTATGAGCGATTGTTTAATTTCTCTTAGACATGCCTGGAAGTGTCATTGCTAGAACTTACTCTTGTGTGTATGTTTGATTTTTTAAGTAACAGACAAATTATTTTCCTTAGTGGTTGTGCCATTGTGCGTTACCTCTGTATTAGTTTGCTAATTTGGGCATAACAAAGTATCACTGACAGAAACTAGAGATTTATTTCTCATCATTTGGTAGCTACAAGTGCAAGATCAAGGTGTCAGCGGGGCTGATTTGTTTCTGATGTCTGTCTTCTTCATTTGTTGTTAGCCGACTTCTTCCTGTGGCTTCATATGGTTGTTGTGTGTATGTATATCTGCTTTTAATCTCCTTTCCTTATAAGGATACAAGTCATATTGCATAAGATTAGCAGCCACCTATTAGACCCCACTTTACCTTAGTTACCTATTTAAAGGCTTCAAATACACAGTTTGAGGCATTGAGGTT